GCCCCTTCTTCCAAAGGCCATAAATTCCCATTTTTTCCCTGAGTTGCCCCTCCCAGCTGAAACAAATGATTTCCAGGAAACTCAGGTCTAGGTCTGAATCCAAAACTTGGTCCTTGAACTGCCTGGTCGCAAAATAACCCCAGATGGTGCCAAATGCCCTGTGCTTGCACCCTGCCTGAGATTTGGACAGCCCAAAGCCTGGAGCAGGCTGCCAGAGCTACCACCTCCCACTGCTCCCCGGCTTTCCTGCCACAGATGCTGTGGGAGAGCTTTGCTAACAGCATCCCCATTTTTAGCAATTTTTCCACCTGCTCTTTGTGGTGGCCCACCTTGTTGCGGATTTGCGTGTGGTTTGCTTTTCACGTTTTCTCTTGTTGTAGGAATTATACAGCCACCACCTAGACCATGGTAGGAATTAAGCGGATGCCACCTCAACAGAGCTCATCCCTAGGTTCTGCTTTAATAAAAGAATCAAAGTTCCTTCTTCTGCTATGTTTAATATATGATAGTAGTTACAGCTCGAGCTGGGTACCTCTCAAGAGGGAACCCACCTGTAGATTACCAGATTTTATGGTCTCTATAGGTCGCTTGATTTCCTGATGGCAGAGTCTGAGGTCTTCTCTTCTGATTTGCTCTCACAGCCTCCAAGCACCCTTTTTGTCTGTGTCTTGAGACACTTCCTTATCTTTTGTTACAGAATATCCTGTACTTAAAGCTTTACTTCTACTTCATTACCTACCTTTACATTTCCATAGGTAACAACAAAGTTTAACGTACAATTCTGTCCTGGTTTGAGGTAAAACAGGACCAATTTTGGTCAGTAACTTCGCTTCTTAGCTGGGCCTCTCTGAGAACTGAAATTAACAGCATATTGTGCAGACAATGTTCACTCTCTCAGAGTGATAAGACCTATGTTTATAGTTGATGCCCAGGCATGGTATGCAGAGAGGCTCTTGCTTATACTTATTGCTATAACACCCAAGGCCAACCAACTTTGTTATTTGCCCTGTTGGAGGGTCGGAAGCGGAAAAGCATAGTGGGGTCCCACCTGCAAGGAGGAGCAGACAGGACACGTGACCCAAAACTGACCAATGAGGGTATTCCATCCCATCTGCCTCATGCTCAGTATAAAGGCTGAGGGATCAAAGGGCTAGCTCTCTCTCTTCCTTCAATGGCCGACGTCTGAGGAGGACTCTGTTCGTCTGCCTGCGATCCCGATCCTGAATGCAGATCCGGAATCCAGTTCCCGTCCGTCACTGAGTCCAGCCTGGGACTGCCCCAGTGCCAGCCGGTGTCGTGATTGTCATCTCGGGAGCTTGATACGGTTTTGTATATATTTCTTTTTTTTTTTATGTTATTTTATTTTATTATTAATATTTCATTAAAGTAGTTTAGTTCCTTCTAAACTCGTAAGTCTCTTTTTCCTCCTCTGCCCCTCTCTCTGAAGAGGGGTAGAGGAGAGCATCTGTCGGTCCCATCTGGGGTCCCCCAGGTCCCCAGTAGCCGATTTGGCCTAAACCACGACAGATTCATATGGCCTAAGGCTTCATTTACTTTAGTCACTAGTGCTAAGCTCTGGCACAAATTAGTCTGTCACTACACTCTCTTGGGTGCATCTTCTGCTGGAGTGATGCTCCTGTTTCCTTCTTGGTGCCTCCTTGGAATTTCCCCAGCTTTTTTGTTTCCTTTACAGCCCAAGTAGAGTGCCTTTACACCAGCCCTCTGCTACGGGATCCTTGGATCCGTGTAGCCTTTTACCTGCTTTTGAGGAATCTGGGGATTAGGAAAGAGGGTGGCAGAGGGGCCATGGGACTGTGCTCTCACCCTGAAGCGGGGCGAGCTCAATGGTGGGGCATCCTGCTAAGCCTGCAGCTTCACCACACACGACCTCCTGACTTAAATATTACCTTCATGTCAACATTTTCCTGGGGCAGGGCTCTCAGGAGAGGCTCTGCAGCAGTCCTAGGGTGCTCCAGCAAGGCAGCAGTGCTGACTGTGGCTTGAGCGTTCTGCAAACCCCCATGGGCAGCCATGGCGCCAGTGAGAAACGCAGCAGGCACGGGCTGGCAGAGCTGTTTGCAAGACCAGTCCCTATATGAGGGCACCCAGCAAGACTGCAACACACCCAGCATCTCAGTTTTGGAGTGATAGGATGTGGTGTGCCAGGGGTGCTTGCAGGGGTCTGAGAGGCTGTGGCTGAGGATGCTTCCCCATGGATGTTGGGCATTGAGCAGCACTGAGTTTTACCCAGCTGCAAGATCTGCTTGCAGGGCTTTGCGTGCTGCTCATGTCTGCTCTTTCTCTCTGAGCCACAAACCCGGCACTATTCACCTTCTTCCAGCTCAGGCTCATCAGCACAGCAATGCTGAGCAGCAGACTCCCCTTCAGCCCCACTGCAGACCTCCCTCTGGGAGGAAAACCAGCCATTGCTCCTGCATGGAAAGCCTTGGTCGTGGTCGTTTATGAAATGTGAACGTCTTTGGAGGCACAGGGAGCTGGAGGAAGCAGGAAGCATTTTGCAATCACAACATAGCATATCGCTGCTGCCATGTCTGTGTTGCACAGGTGCTCACAGGTAGTGTACTGGTTAAAAAAAAAGAAAAACTAATTTATTGGGATCTTGGCCTGGGATAATGCTCATATAGGGGATCAGTCAGCTGCTCTCCAGATGGAGGAGTCATCTCTGCTGCAGAGGTTCTTGCAGCAGCACCTCCAGCAGGGTCAGGTGAGACTGCACGAACCACTCCCTGTTCAGCTCTTGTCTGGCTGTTGTCCATGCTCCAGTGGATGCATGATCCATCACTACTGCTGATCTCAGCTGCATGGGAAACAGCACTTACATGTCTTAACTGTATGTAGAAGACTGTCCTACATGACCATTTCTGCAGGGACTGTTCCTAGCAACTGTTTACAAATGTCTCAACATTGAACATCTCAGTGCTCAATGTCTCAGTGCCCAACATCTGTCTCAATCCAGCTGTTGTCCCACCTAAGCAGATGGAGCTGGGGAGTTCCCAGATCTCCCGGGGACTCCATGGCTGTTTGGTACCAAGCCACGTTGCAATGATGACAAAAGAATAAATCTGATTTTCAAGCTTTTAACTTCTAAATTTCAACTAATGTTTTCTACAACAAAGCAGACGCTCATCCCCTGTGCAGGGCAGGGGGCAGAGAGGTCCCTCCTGACCTGGATACAGCCAGGTGCCAGATCTCCCTCCCCCTACAGCATGAGCAGTGATATATTCACCTGGCTGAAGAGATGTCTTGGAGGAAGTGTCTGTGCCATGTCCCTGTGCAGCAGCCAAGTGGTCCGAGGACCCCTGCCCACCCGCCCATCCTTAGTATGGTCTTGTACCATTAAGGACCCTTTGGGAGGGCTCAGACAGGACTCCACCATGGAGCTGTCCCCTGCTTGGCCTCAAAGCACCATGCACGGGGCATCACCTCCCATGGGGTCTGTGCCCAGGGCACCACGCATCCCCTCTTGCAGGGGCAAGCAGATTTTAATATCTACATATCTTCCAGAAAAGCCCTTCTGCACTTACAAGAGGGATTAATTCAGGGGTGCCCAAGAGCTCCTGCTGCAGTGACAGTCACAGCTCCCAGATGCAGGGAAAACCCAGCACAGCCATGAGAAAAACAGCTTAGAAACAGCAGCAGAAACTTGTAACACAGGAGGGGACTGTGATGAGGACAAACACCCATGGGCAGACACACCACCCTTCAGTGCAGCGGAGAAGAGCTGGTTGGGCTGTGCTTGTTGCAGAACTGTGTTTGGATGGCAGCAGTGGCATGGTGGCAGTAGGACAGTGTCAGGTTGCTGTGCCCACCACAAGGGCTCTGTTGTAGAGCAAGGAATGGGCTGTCAGAGCCCCTTGGATAGTGGATGTGCAGCCGTGCTCAGCCCTGAGTTCCTCCAGCGCTTCCCCGGGTCACACAGACCTGCTCGCTTCGCCTGTCCCAGGTGCCCTGCCACCCAGCTGCCCACCCGACGGCTGCCAGCCTGGTGCCTGCAGGGCTCCAGTTACAGCCCTATAAAGGGAGCTGGGGTGTGGGGCCAGGAGGGAGCCATGTCAGGCGCTTCGCAGCCCCGCAGCCATGGGGACCAGTGCTTTTGCCCTGGTCCTCACCCTGGCCTTGGCAGCGTGCATCGCCCATGCAGAGAGGAAGGTACAGGACAGGTGGTGATGGGGACATGGCAGACATGGCACTGGGATGCAGCATGGGCAGCTGGAGGTCCTTTCTTAAATGCTGTTTTAGGCTGGGGCAAGCAGGAGACCTTTGGAAGCACCTAGTCTAGGCAATGGGCAGGGTCTCTCTGGGTCACCCCCAGCCACCCAGTCACCACCTCCACAAAGCTTCTCTCCCACCCTTCCTGCAGGGTCTGTGCACAGGGCCACCATGTACATACACATCCCCACCCACGGGGTCTGTGCCTGGGGTACCATGCATGGGGCATCCCTTCCCACAAGATCTGTGCCCGGGGGCATGATGCACAGGAGTAATTTGGGCCAGTTCTCGTGCCAGCGCGTGTTGAGCAATGGTCAGCGAGTGCTGATATTCCTGGGGAAGACATGTAAAAGTGAATTGCCCACCTTCCCATGTAAAGGCAAAATGATCTTGGTCTGCTTCCTGCAAGGGAACCATAAAAAACATATCTTTCACATCAATGGTTGCTAAAATTTGGTGGGCTTGCTCTTGTATGGTCTCAATCAATTCAGCTATGTTAGGTACTGCAGCTGTCAAGGGGCCTGGGTTGGCATTTAGACACCAGTAGTCAATTGTCAATCGCCACTTCTCATTCAGTTTATGGACTGGCCACACCAGGGAACTATAAGGTGAGTGTGTGGGGATAATTACCCCTTGCTCTTGTAGTTCAGCTATCACCGAGGTGATCGCTTCCCTTGCTCCCAGGGGCAGGGCGTAGGGTTTTACATTAACAACTTTGGAGGGGGGAAGTGCAGGCGCTTGCTGTAAAAGTCTCATAGAGGCAATAGGGATCCCAAATTTCCATTCCCTTCCTTTCGAATCCACCCAGACTTGTCCCTTCAATAGATCAAGTCCCAAGATATTCCTGGGGAAAGTTCCCAAAAACATGAGAGCCTCTACTGCAGTTTCATTTCTAGGTAACCAGCACTTAATCCAAGCTGTTGGCTATGGCTTAGAGTTTCCAAACACATCTGAAACCCAAATCTGTTTTTTATCAGCAACTATGCCATTGTGCTTAGCAACATCTGCACAGAGTGCTGAGACCTGAGCGCTGGTGTCCACTAAAAATGTAACTGGGGTTTTAAAAGGGCCAAAGAGAAAGGTAATTAGCAAGTCTCACTTACTATTTTCCGTGAGCCTTCTTAGGTGAACCCACTGGCCGTCCCCTGGCTCACTTACTGGGGATGGCGCATCCAGTTTCCTGACTGGAAATCAATCAAGTCCTTTTCAGGGGCAGTAGGTGTTTGAGAGACAGTTAGCACCATCTCCTTAGATGTTCCGCCCTGCCTCTCCCCTTCGAGGGTTGCTCTGTCCTGAGGGGTAATCTCCTTTGATCTTTCCATGCTCAAATAAGCTTCTCTAGGGCTGCAGTGGGTAAGTCTTCTCAATTCCTTCACCCCACAACAGATTCCTCTTTGTCCCTAAATTTTGTGGGGGGGTGCAGTCCACCCATTGTTCTATTCTACGTGCAGCTAGTTTAGATTTACCTGTTCCCCCTGTGAGGCCCATCCTTCGGCTGTAGTTAATCAACTCGTGCCACTTCCCCCCTGCTGGTTCCATCTTCCTCCCCTCGGGGATAATGTGTCCCGCAAATGGTCCTGGAGTTGGACCACATATAGTTTTAAAGAGTCAGGCAAGCCTCAGATCAGGGGAGTCATTCTGTCGGGGTTTGCATTTAGCAACATCGGAGAGGGTTGCTGAGGTATTAAATGCCTGTCATGCATCAGCTGGAGACAGGCAGTAGTTTGCAGACTTTTGGTTAAGTGGTTTATAGTTGGGGTCTCAATACGTATTGAGTCCCCCCACTCTATGGGATTTAACCCCCCTGCCCAATATGCAACTCGTTGGGTTAAGGACCATGGTTCTCTCAGGTCGTCGGTGGTCAAAAATACCCCGGGCCCTCAATACCCCTGTGCCTCATCTTCTGACAATAAAACCCGGTCTCTGCCGGTCAATGATACCCTCCATACACATTCAGTCTCAATTTCTTGAGCTAATCTAGTATATTTTTCCTGGATTTTTGATAATTTGGTTGCCGAATATGGTACCGTTCGGGTGGTAACTTGCAGGGGCCTCCCCGCCTGACTGTTACCAGTAGTCTCGGTCTTAATTAGAGGTCTCAGTGTTGCCTCCTCATTTTGGGGGTAAAAACTTTCCTGGCTCATCTCTAACTCCTTTGTGGGATACAAGGGTCTATTGGCCAATTTTGCCAGACTTGTAAATCCCGGTTCACTATCCAGGAGAGAGTTAAGATCTGTCTCGTCGTGGTTTTCTTGTTCATTCTCCTCTAGTTCAGACCGTAAGATTTTTTCTCAGTCCAGGGCATCTGACAGAGCCACATGGAGTCACGAAGTAGTGTTACGCTCAGCGGCTAATTGGCTTTGCAGAATTTCAATTTGCTCTTGCAAGGATCTGACCGTTTTAGTAGCATCACGTTCCTCTGCCAATTGATCCTGGAGAGCTTTTACCTGATCTTGCGGGGATCTGATTGTTTCCCCTTCTGCTTGCTTGGTTAAGTGTCTATCCTTTTGGGCTGCAGTCAGTGCTGCCCCTAAAACAGCACACACTATAGCTTTTCCTTTACCTAACCACAATTTTTTCTCCTTCGCAAGGGTAGTGATACAACTTGCCCCTGCTTCTGGATTACGCCAATTATCGTGGGCCCAGACCATTCCCGGTGGAGTAGGACAAGCCTTGTACTCCTTCAGTTTCTCAAGAATCAGGGACCAGTCAAGCACCGACATTTTCAGGAGCCTGGTTGACAAAGCCCCTTGGGAGGCAGTCCTGAAGGGCAAAGGAGTCCAGGAAGCCTGGATGTTTTTCAAGAAGGAAGTCTTAGAGGCACAGGAGCAGGCTGTCCCCATGTGCCAAAAGACAA